CATTTGAGATGCTCTTCAGGAGCCAAAGAGGAAGGGCTTAAATGGGCCTACAAACATGGGGAGTTTACAAGAGATTCGAGGGCATTCTCTCAAAATGAATTTGATTTTACTCACATGCTATCAATATACATAAGTTTTGTTTTGTTTTATTTTATTTTTTAATAATTAGGTGTTCGTATCAGTTTACACACCTCTCAACTATCAAATATACATTTCAAAAAGTATAGTTACGTTTGGTTTAGTTTTAGAATTATGATTTGAGAATGTAGTTGTATTTTGAATTTGTGAGTTGTTGAATCATGATTAGAAAAGAAAAAAATTGTTTGGTTATGAGTTTTGAAATGAGCTTTGAATTGAATTTTGAATTTTGAATTTTTCAAATGAGTTTTGAAATTAAAAAAAAAAAAGAAGTTGTTTAGTTATGAATTTTCAAAAGAGTTTTCAAAACTTAATTCAAAAACTTATAACTCATAATCAAACACACAACTCAAAACTCTATTGAAAATTTTATTCAAAACTCATAACCAAATTCTTTTTAAAATTCAACTTAAAAAAATAATTATTGAAAAGAAATTATTTAAAAAATTTAGAAATTTTGAAATTATTTTTTTATTTAAAATATTAATTTTTTTTGGTTAAAAAAAATAATCATCTAGTATTTTAAAATTACTTTTGATTGTATATTTGTTTGGAAATTTTTTTTAATTGTTTTGTTTAAAAATATTTTTTTATTTTTTAAAAATTACTCTGACAAATTAATTTTTATTTAATTTTTTTTTGTTAATTTTAAATAAATGGCCAAATAATTTGTCATTATGGTCTTAAAAAAATAATTTTTATATTTAAAAAATATTAAAAATAAATATAATTTTTTTTTTCAAATAACAAGTGGCAATTGCACACACACAAAAAAAAAAAGTACTATTCCGGTCGATCGGCCAGACGTCCGGGAGAATGTCTGAGCGTACGACTAAGTAGACCCAAAAATTCAAAAACTATTTGGGAGGTTATCCAGGCGGACGACTAGGTAGACCAAAAAATACTCTCTGATTTACAAAACATGTTTTCAAATGTGTTTGGAAATATGATTTGAAATCATATTTTGAAAACTGTAATCAAACAAATGGTTGAAATATGAGGGTGAAATCATGATTTAAGACCCAAATGAAACAGAGCCTTAATTATCTTTTTGTCGGTGGTGCTAGACGGTAGTAGTAGCTATAGACTATATAAAGAAAGAAATGAGTGGCAGTGAGCTAGAGAAGGAAATGAATAATGGTGGCCGGAAAAAATGAATGGAGCAATGCAGTGGATTAGGAAAAAAAGGAGGGATGGTGATGAACGACGGTAAGAATATGACGTTGGAATGATTAAAATAATAATAGGGTTGCTTGTGGATCAGGTTAGGTCAAGTGGTCTCTCGTCCGCCATCCATTTAAACTTACATAGATTGAAAAAAATTAATCTGCATCCATCCGCTTAGTTAATAAATGCAGATTAAGTGAGCCGTGTGGATTGGCGAGTGAATGCAAATTAATTTAACGATTAGACTTTACAATTTAATATGTTTTTTAGAAGGGTTTGGTTATGGTGTGCAACTTACACCTTACACCTTATACCTTACACTTACACCTTACACTTACACCTTTTGTAAAAAATTAAACCTTACACTTACACCTTTTTTGAGGTTGCACACCATGTGCAACCCACTTACACCTTACACCTTACATTTACACCTTACACTTACACCTTATACTTATACTTACACCTTACACTTACACTTTTTGTGTAAGTGGCACATGGTGTGCACTTGCACACTTAAGAAAACTCCTTTTTGGAAATATTCTAGAGTAATTTTTTTTTTTGACTTTATTTGTGTCCAAATTTTTTATTCTTCATTTTTTATAATTAAAATAAAGGTCAAATTTTCATATTTCATGAGTAGCTAATATTATTACTATATTCACCCAAAAAAAATATTATTACTAAATAAAATATCATTTTTTTAACATATAAAACATAAAAAACATAAACATCATTTTCTTAAGGGAATTGGAGGATTGGATTAGATTGGGTGATCTCTTATATGTCATCCGTCTGAACATAAGTAGATTTGAAAAATCTCCATCAACATCCATCCGCCCATACCATCGAAACTGTTTAAAAGTGGACGGATTGGGTTGGGTTGGCTGATTTGGGCGGGTCAATCAAGTCCATAAGCACCCTTAGTCAAAAGTAATGAAAGGGAAAAAAATGCCTAAATTGTCTAAATTAACCTCTCCTTTAGTTATACAAATGGTTAGTTAGAATTAATATTATTTTAAAAGTTCAAAATTTAAAATGAATATAAAAATTCATGAGATATTGATTTGTGATTACATTTCAATTTTTAAACAATATAATAATCCCAATTAAATAATTAAAGACAAAATGACACAATTATTTAACGTGAAAAAATCACAATTGGAGCATCTCCAATTGTGATAAAAAAAATTACAGGCCAAAGTTACAAAATAATCTACTAAGAAGACAAAAATGAATTACACAAGTATACTCTCAATTATCTAATGAATCCATGCCTGAATTGAACCAATCCCAATGTGCCTCTTCCACCAACGTCTTTATCTTGGAATTGTCTTGCCAACGTTAAATCCACGACGATGAGCCATTCGGAATCCACCAAAGCTTTAGCCCCAAATTCCCTAAAATTCACCGAAGAGCAACACTCTCTTTTTGTGAATGAAAGAAAACAAACAAATCTCTTGATGATGTTGATATAAAGTTTATGGATCTATTAATCACTCTTAAATCATCAAGGAAATACTTATAAAGCACCCTCCACTATAAAATACCCTTTTTTTTCTTCCTCTTTGAAAAATTAGACGATTCAAATCCTAAAACAAGCAAACACTGCACTTCATAGTAACCTGGATTGCGAAGATCACTCAAGCGCATATTCCACCGCTCAAGCGGTGTGATTAAAGGCAGTGCGAAATATATAGACTGACCGCCTGAGCGGTAAAACTTTATTCCCAAAAGTTCAGGTGCTCTGCAAAAGTACTGGATAATCTTTTTCTTTGCTTGAGCGCACAAACGACACTATACCAAAATTGGGCTTTAGCGGCAGTTTTTTACTGCCGTTAAAGGATGTAAAACCGTTGTTAAAGCCTTTAACGGCGGTAATTTAGGACCGCCATTTATACTCGTGTCGGAAAATATACAACCGTCGTAAAATAGTAAATTACCGTTGTTAAAAGTCGACCAAAAACGGCAGTTCTTTACCGCCGTAAATAGGTTCAAATTTTTAAAAAAGTAATTCTCTTTTCTTGCACCCTCTCGAACCCTTGACCTCTAATCTACGCACGCCAACCACTCCACCACAACTACTCTATATGAAATATATTCCCTAAATAAATATTTAAACATTATTTTTTCTTTATTGTAGATGGTCATGTTCAACCTCTGGCCGCGCATGGTCACCACTTGTCAGAGTTCTGCCGAAGCTTCGCCGGCAAAGACCGTCGTCATTAACTGCGGTAATAAGAGGGCTTTAGCGGCGATTTCGTTACCGTCGTTAAAAGAGGGCTTTAGTGGCAGTTTTTTTAATGGCAGTTTCATTACCGCCGTTAAAGATACTTTAGTAGCGATTTTTTTAACGGCAGTAACGAAACCGCCGTTAAAGATACATTAACGATGATAACAAAAATCGCCGTTAAAAAAATTACCGTTAATGTCCTGTTTTGGCATAGTGTGACTGCTTAAGCAATTATACAACTTCGATCGGATCTGCCATGGGGCGCTACCTCCTGGACCCCTGCGAACTGATTAGATAGCTCAATCTCCACACATAATCAGCGAAGTAGCAAACATGAAAGGATTAAGATCACAAACTGCTCTGCTAAGCACAATTTGAACTGGATTCTCATTTAAACACTCATAACCTCACTGAAATAAAAGAGTAAATAAAATAACAATTGAAAGAAGTTTTTTCAAATGAGATTGTCAATTACAAAACCTAACAAAACAATTAAAAGATTACAATTTAATTTATTAGCGAGGTCAAATTTTAGAATTATTTTTATAATTTTTTTAAAAAACTAAACAAATATAAATCAGCTTAATCAAAATTGATTTTTGATTTGACATTGAATCTAAAGATGCATAAGTCAAATTTAAACACATTTTACTACAATTAAGCTTTCGTTTGGAAACAGCTAATTTAACTAGACTTTTTGACTAATTTAGTTTGGTTAAATTAGTTCTGTTTGAAAATAACTTTTAGCTTTTTTTAGTTTGAATGTGATGACTATGAGAGAAAAAAATAAAAATAATTATGATTTAAATATGACATTTTGTCTTATTAGCTAAATTAGATTATTTTGTATTTTTGTATTAATTTAGTCACTTTAATCTTTTCCAAACAAGGCTTAAGCCTTTTTAAAGATAAATTCAAATGCCTTTTCAAGACCAGACTATCGCCCCCTACAGAGGAGAAATTTTAACATACACATTCTTGGGTGTATCATATGCACTATAATTATATCATCTATCGTTTTTTTTTTTTAGTTATAGTAAATTTTCTTATTTAATTATAATATTATTATAGTTATGACTTATGATTTCTTTAATTATAGCTCATATTATATTTGGTTATGACATAAAAAATATAAAATTATATCATTTTATTTTTTAATTATAAAGTGCATAGATACACACTCTTTATGAGTGTGTACCATAGTGTCCCTCTACATATACTTTGAGATTGTTTGGAATGATCTAAATAAGTGTACTTTTTGTCATTTTATAAAAAAATGTGCAGAAAAATAAAAAAATAATGTGATAAAAAAAGATAAAAAGAGAATTATTTTTGGATTGCCAAACTTGCCGTTCATTTATTTATGAGGTGCTCTATTGCCATAGCAAGAATAGCTACTGCCAGAGCACATTAAACAGCTTCAAGTAGTAGTACATATTTCTGTCACCACTGTACATTGCTCTGGCACCAACTAAAAAATGGTTTTTTTCAATTGACACACACAGTTCTTCTTCTTTAGTCGTTTTTTTCTTTATCAATCTCCGCAATGTCTTTGCGTCTCCAAATGCATTCTTATTAAAGTCTCTTCCGCCTCAACCTCAAGGTAAAGCTCTCTCAAGTCAACTCCTTTGTAAACACTCAGCATTTGCTGCTGCAAATAATCGGATTCTTTTTTACTAATTGTGGGAATCAAATCAAATTATTACTACGTTTTTTTTATCAATTTATAATTAATTGTTCAAATGGGTTCACTTCTATTTGTGATTTTAATTATTTTTTTTCTTTGTTACATTTCCTGTTTTTTATTCAGTTGGAAGATGTCCAAGTCTGGAGCATTGGCAACTGGTGTTGGTGGAAAGATTGAGAAGAAGGAAGTACTTTCAGCTGTTGAAAAGTACATCTTATTTTCCTCAAACTACTTTATGCTCTCTAATCATGTTGTGTATTTTACCCATTCTCACTCTTCTTGATATGGGTATTGTCTTGGTTTTGCATTGTTTACAAATTGCTGCTAAGCCTGTTTTCAAAGGTGAAATTTTATGTGATTCTCTCTCACTCTGTGTGTGTGTGTGTTTTCTTTTTTACTCAAGAAAGCAATAAAACGAGTTTCATATTGGTAAACAAAAAATTGCTAAATTAAAAATCTCCTCAATTTAAGTATCAAGTTAATGAAAATATTGCTGAATCTGTAAATTATAAAGTGTTAGTTCCACCTCTATGTTTTACAAAATGAACTCTATCATTTATTTATTTATTTATTTTTATTTTTAACTGCATTATATTTCATCTGGATTTATGGAGGGAGCATTTGAATGAGGCATCACATTTTGCTTCATTTGGCATTTGAAATATGTCTATTTTGTAGTTATACCACATTTCGTTTCTATGCATTCTATTTCATTTCTGTGTGTGCACCTTTACACTAGAATGTTTGAGAGCTTGATATACATCGTTTGGCCTATTAGCAAATAGCTCAAGCTTTTGATGTAACTAACATGTTGGCTGACATATATAGTGGTGGGATGTTGTTGATATGCTTGAAATATTTCCAAGGTTATATTGATGGTTTTGAATTGTTATTGATGAGAAATTCTTTCCAATAATTTAGGAATGAGAAGTACCATGTCCTTCATGGAGGAGATGAGTTAAAGAGGAAAGCTAACTACTCTGACATGGTAAGTAGATTTCTCATGATATAATGTCATCTTTTGCTATGTCCATTTTCTTTTCCTCTATTAAAAACTTTAGTTTTATTTATTTTCCCCTTTTAGTTAATTGTTCCCTTCAACTTAAGTATTTTAAAAATTTAGCAGTTGCAGCTTTCATTGTATATTACAGAATGTTAATTAGACTGATAGATTTCTTACGCTTCAAATTTAAAATTAGATAGAAAGTTATATGTGTCAGTTTTTAAGTTCGCAATGTCTCCTTTCTAATACTAGAAACCATTGAGACATTTCAATGATTCAATCAATGCACTATGGCAGTTGATCTATGTTACCTGTCTCTTTGATTTTAGGTTAACAAATATTATGATCTAGTGACAAGCTTCTATGAATATGGTTGGGGTGAGTCTTTCCATTTTGCACCCAGGTAAGTGGCAAGCTTGCTTTCCGCATAACTGTTTTGGGTCTCTTTTTCTTCACTATGTACATGCAAAAGAGCATATTACTCTTTCTTGAAGTTTTATTAACAATTAGCAAAATTCTAATATTGGCAGATGGAAACCAGAGTCGCTTCGAGAGAGCATCAAACGACACGAACACTTTCTTGCTTTGCAACTAGGCCTGAAACAAGGGCAGAAGGTTTGGTTCACTTACTCTCACAACTTGACTAAGTACTTGTACAAACTATGACAAAATCTCCTGTTTCGTACAAGTTGTGATTCAACTTTCATCTCATCATTGGCAGGTGTTGGATGTAGGATGTAGCATTGGTGGGCCGTTAAGAGAAATTTCTAGATTCAGGTAACCGATGAATCTTAGGTTTAATTATGTAATTTGCTTTGCCATTTTGTCTTCTTCTATGTTCTTTTTCTTCTTCTTCCTTTTTTTGTTTATATATATATATATATCATGCATTTGGTCTCTCAGATAATAGTTTGAATTGTTTTTATACGAACAAGGCACTTCTAATTATGTTTTTAATGTTGTATATTTCACTTCCAACAATTCCAACAAATTTTTTCCTCCCAACATTTGTTTAGTAAGTATAAATTTGAAAACTGTTCTTAAGGTGCCGGTCGCCTCACATTCTACTTTTTGGCTACATGATTGCAAATTTGGATTACTTAGGACCCAATAATCCTAAAGTTTCTTCATTTGCCCAATCTTATCTTTTGGACTTACGAAAAGTATTGAAATTATAAGGTAAATAGCAATTTTTTTTTTTTTTCTGATTGTATTGTTGTTTGGCCTTGGAGCGAGGTATGAAGGACCATGGGCCTTGGGGCCATGGTGCTGCCTGTTGCAGGGCTCTTCATATTTAGATATATTTGGGCTTATATGTATGCTCCCGCTTAGGCTGAGCATATAGTCTTGGTTGCCTTGGCACATGACGCCCGTAGGGCTCGCCATGTAGCAAACATACGACTTGCCCGACGTGGTGCCTTATTGGTCTGCCACGTGGGTGGGGTTTTGGTGATGTGGCACCTGTAGGGCTTACCACATATTGAGCTTGATACGAGTACCCACAATAATGCCCCCCTGTACAGATGCTCTTATAGCTAATGAGAGTATTTGTACATGACTATGTTAAAAAGTTTTGAAAAATATTAATTCATGCAGACAAGTATTCAGATAGAGTCGTCTAAAATTAGGCTTTTGATACAATGGGGGCATTTGGATTGCTCATGGAGAGTTTACATTTTAAATTTCATTCGGTGCGAGCCGGCCGGATAAAGATGTGGGCTTGTTGGGCGATGGCTTGATTCCACGGGATCTCTATTACATCACATGAGATTTCAGCTTCATTCCATAGGCACCAAATTCCGCCCATTACTCTTTTCATGCCGCTGGGATGTGGGTTCATGGTCTTGGTGTTGGAGTAACCCATGATTTGGCTCATGAACTGGGCCTTGCCTTCCCTTTTTTTTGTGTTTGTGATGATGACGAGGTGGAAGCGTCCGCTAGAATGTAGGTGCATGTAGTATTAGAGAAAGTTAGGGCGAGCGACGCCCTCAGTGTTGAAGAAGAGGTTGTTAAGTGGAATGTTGTAGGAGATGTTTGGTTGAGCGTTGTGGGAAGCGCTCTCTTCTCCCATGTTGAGATCTGCAAAGTTCTCTATGTCCCACCCAAGTCCCAAATCTTCATTTGGGTTTTCCAACGGTGCTGACATGATGGAGATGTGGTGGTCTAAATCTCCCTCTGTCGGTCTTTATGAGAGGATATTGATGCGGATCTTCTCGAAATGTGGGATTAATACCTGCTTTGCCTGGCAGGTGGATCCTTGGAGAGTGAGGTTGATTTCTTGGTTTTGCAAAAACCAAGTGTAGGACAGTGGTATTGTGTAAAGTTCTGGAATGGTTAGTGCCTTGTAGCATCCTCTTATTTTACCCCGGAATTCTTCCGATACCTCTACGACTGTATGAGCAGATATTGGGTATTGGATCCAAGGGGATTCGAATAGCAGATCTTGGAATTGCCATGGAGGCATGGAGAGCATCTTTCGAAAGAATTCACACACAGGGCGGCGACAATGAGTAGGAGTGAAGCTTGAAGCTCTATAGTTTGAGCCTCTTTGGTTTGGAGCCTTGTTCACCAGCCGCCAAATGGTGTTATCTCGGTGCCCCTCTCCTCCGGAAGCCATTTAGAGAGAATGGGTTGTTAAAGTTCAGAGGAGAATGTTGGCAAGTGGATATGAGTTTGCCTGTTTTTTTTTTTTGTTGCTGTCCCGTATTTGCTCTCTTATAAAGATGAGATTGCATTGGGAAAGATGAGGTGAATTTACTAACTTTTGTAGCTTTACATTGGGAATGGGCGATCCATGAAGAAAACAACTCATAAATTGAAGTTATAGGTTTAGAGCAGACCTACTAATTTTGGAGTTGCTCAGTATAATGTGATAGCTTGTGTAGCTATTAGTAAAGTGACTTTTTGAAGGCTTTAAGGTATTTGCAGTCTGTAGCAAAGAGTTCGATTGGTTTAAGGATTCATCTTCGGAAAGGTGCAATCCTGAATATGTGTGTATATATACACATTATTATTTATCTATTTATATATATATATATATATTTGAATTCAAAGAAGTTTGTGTATATGACTTTAGCTTGTTCGAAACTGTTTGAAAGGAGAGTTCATCCTTTTTTCTTTTTTTTTTTTTCTTTTTTTATGTATTCCGTGTATTTTGAATTTGACCAGAGCTGTCCAAATTCTGGTTACTTCGTCCACTTCTCCTTTTATCCATTGTGCAAACCCAGTTTTTTTTTTTTTTGAACTGGATCAAAGAGGGACTCTGTATTATCCGATTGCTGCCCACGTCTTCTCCCTTTACCCAAGGTGTGCAAGGACTTTACCCAAAGTGTGCAAGGATGTTTTATTGACATGGTTATCTGCAACTAGGTTTCCTATACCATTAGGAAAACTGTTTGGGAAGATTTGTGTCTAGGTATACCTTTGGTTTTCTCAACAAAACCTAGAATCCCACTTAGAGTGAAGGACTAGAAAATCCAAAGTTCAACTGGGAGAGAAAGGTTGACAGCCGTGGAAGGGGAAAAAGCTTGCCGCCGACGAGCTCCGAGAAGGCACGAAGAGAGAAGAGAGGCGAGAAGGAAGAGAGTTACCTGCGAAGCGTAGAGGTTGCCATCGGCGATCCGTAAGGGTGGTTCTGGGTTTGCTGCTGGGGTTGGTCGATGTTTGAAATCGATTTTTGAAAGATTTTGTGAACAGTGTTTTGCCGAAGGAAAGTGGGTTTGGATCTTGATTGAAGATTTTGCACAAGTGAGATTCTGCGCAGAAGTGAAGGAGTGTGAGCTGACATTAGAGGAAGGCTAGGGTTTTGATTTCTTTGCTAAAGGATTTTGGGGGTTAGTTGATGTCGTCGATTCTTGAGGGAAGGGGCAAAATCTCGGTAATTGACAGGCGATAGAGAAGGTGAGAAGCAAGGAGGGTGAGTTGGGAAGTGGCGAGCCACAGTTGCGAGTTGGGTGAGGAGAACCTGGTGCGTTGGAAGCTAAACAACAATCTGGGTATCGTCTTCTTGGAGTTGTCTTCCGTGAGGTATGCGTTGAATCTCCCATAGATTGGCTATGTATGTGTTTATTTGTTTGCTATATATATATATATGTGTGTGTGTGTTTTGTCTGTTTTGTGATGAAACAAAGAAAAAGAAAAGGGGGCAGACTATAAAATAAAATAAAATAAATAACGAGATAAGTCAAAAATGGAGGGCTGCATTTTGGAGAGTCGTATAATAATAAAATTGTTATTTTCGTAAAGAGCCAAGGGTTGGAGAACCCTCTTTTTTTTTTATGTGTGGAGAAATAGTCGGGAAATAAAAAATAAAATACTAGAATAAGATATTAAGGAGTTGTAAAAGTGGAGTTCTACGCTTAGAATATTAGGGAGTTATAAGATTGGAGATTTTGAATAATAAAATATTAGAATTGTGGGGAGCTACGCTATTGGTGAGCCATAAAAATATTAGGAGAGCCGTGATTTTTTAGAGTTTGAAAAATGTTGGAGAGTTGAAAAATGAAGAGTTCTAAAATTAATAATAAAATATTAGTGAGCTATAAGAATGGCGAACTAACACATGGAGAGTTATGAAATTGGAGAATTCTAAAAAGAATTAATAAAATATTGGTGAGCCATGAAATTGGTGAGCTAAGCAAATAATAATAAAATATTAGTGATCTATGAGAATGGTGAGCTATCACATTTGGTGAGCTAAGAAAATAATAATAAAATATTAGTGATCTATGAGAATGGTCAGCTATCACATATGTCTCTAACTCTAACACTTAGGAAAATTCATAAGGATTGAGAACGGGCTCTGGTTATGAAATTGGAGAACTCTTTAACAAAAATTAATAAAATATTAGTGACCCATGCAATTGGTGAGCCAAGAAAATAATAATAAAATATTGGTAATCTATGAGAATGGCGAGCTAATCCATGGAGAGTTATGAAATTGGAGAATTCTAACAAAAATTATTAAAATATTGGTGAGCCATGAAATTAGTGAGCTAAGAAAATAATAATAAAATATTGGTGATCTATGAGAATGGTGAGCTAATCCATGGAGAGTTATAAAATTGGAGAATTCTAACAAAAATTATTAAAATATTGGTGAGCCATGAAATTGGTGAGCTAAGAAAATAATAATAAAATATTGGTGATCTATGAGAATGGTGAGCTAACCCATGGAGAGTTATGAAATTGGAGAACTCTTACAAAAATTAATAAAATATTGGTGAGCCATGAAATTGGCGAGCTAAGAAAATAATAATAAAATATTAGTGATCTATGAGAATGGTGAGCTATCACATTTGGTGAGCCAAGAAGGTAATAATAAAATATTAGTGATCTACGAGAATGGTGAGCTATCACATATGGAGAGTTATGAAATTGGAGAACTCTAACAAAAATTAATAAAATATTGGTGAGCTAAGAAAATAATAATAAAATATTGGTGATCTATGTCATGGAGAGCTAAGAAATTGGTGAGCTAAGAAAATATTGATGAGCTATGTCATGGAGAGCTAAGAAATTGGTGAGCTAAGAAAATAATAATAAAATATTGGTGATCTATGAGAATGGTGAGCTAACCCATGGAGAGTTATGGAATTGGAGAACTCTAACAAAAATTAATAAAATATTGGTGAGCCATGAAATTGGTGAGCTAAAAAAATAATAATAAAATATTAGTGATCTATGAGAATGGTGAGCGAACACATGGAGAGTTATGGAATTGGAGAATTCTAACAAAAATTAATAAAATATTGGTGAGCCATGAAATTGGTGAGCTA